GATATTTTAAGAACGCAAATGTTCCATCCGACGGTACTAAAGTAGTATTTTAAGGTATAAAATGTTTTATCACGGTAGTAAAATGATATCTTAAAATAGAAAACGTATTATCTGGCAGTAAAATGATATCAAGCTAGAAAATGCTCCATCACGGTAGTAACATGAGATTTTAAGGAAGGAAATGTTTTATCACGGCAGTAAAATGATATCAAGGGAGAAAATGTTCCATCCGGTGGTACTAAAATGGTATTTTAAGGTGTAAAATGTTTTATCACGGTAGTAAAATGATATCAAGGTAGAAAATGTTCCATCACGGTCAAAATGATATCAAGGTAGAAAATGTTCCATAACGGTAGTAAAATGAAATCAAGGTAGAGCTGAAATGTTCCATTACAGTAGTAAACTGATATTTTAAGGAAGGAAATGTTTTATCACGGCAGTAAAATGATATCAAGGGAGAAAATGTTCCATTACGGTAGTAAAATGATATCAAGGTAAAAATGTTCTATCACGGTAGTAAAACTATCAAGGTGAAAAATAACAATCGTAGGTGGATTCATGTAGATTTCATAGGACATGTTATGCCACGTCAATGCACCAGTCATTTTCCCGCCCCCGTCCCTCAATGGAGGATACCAGGAGCCGATTACTCCTGGGGGATACCCAGGGAAAACCGAGAGTTTTCACCTTGTTTTTACTCGATTTAGGTTTCCCGGTAGTTGGGAAATACACCTTTTTTCACGGCCTCGCTATACAATGCGGGGGCTGAGCGTAAGCCTTTCCCGTTTGTTTCCAGTGAGCAACGTTCCCGCATTTTACGAGCAATTTAAGTTTTGGCCGCGGAGCAGTGATCTAAAAAAAAGGGAGTGGCCGCCAGCTACGCAGGCTAGGCTGAGGTATACAATATTTCGACTGGTCAACACCAGTCTTCACCAGGTTTACTAGGGAAAACCACGAATACCTTATTTATTCGAATAAGCACCCAACCTCGAATTAGCGCCCACCTCGAATAAGCGCCCATCCTAAAGGCAGAAAAAGTTAATAAGCGCCCAGCCTCGAATAAGCGCCCACCCCCTCCTCCTCCCAATCAAACTCAAATAAGCGCTCACCCCCACCCCACCCACTTGAGTGAATAAATTCTAATAAGAGACTTCCCCGAGGACGGAGTTTTCTTCAGAGTATTTTACAGAAACCTTGCTTTGTTAGTTCTTCGCGTTTTGTTATTAGCATTTATTGTTTTGTTGCAAAATAAACATACTTCACTTGCTGAAAATGGTGAAAATGTAAGAAGCGCCCAGCCTCGAATAAGCGCCCACTCTCAAGGTCCAAAAATTTAATAAGCGCCCAGGTCGGTTAATCGAATAAATACGGTATACAGAAGATATACTGCTTTAAAATAATAAACGGAAGTTACATGGTATGACGTGGTAAGGTGTGGCTGCTAAGAAAAATAAACCGTAAAAAGATAAAGATCACACAACAGCTCACAATGATTATTGTTCGTCACGTTTGATCATTCCCAGAGGCTCGATGGTTTCGGCTTTATGAATGACGAGCGCCTCACTGGCGGTGCTTTCCTAAGACAATCGTGTTCATATCTTAGTGTTTCAGTTGGGATAAGGGCATATAGGAAACAGAGTGGCTATTGCTGAGAAAGTGTCCTGAAACTGCGGTTTGAATGTAACTACCGGAGGGGTTAGGTATAGGGCGTCTATGTTCATTAAAACGGTCCTTGAGGCGGCGTTTAGTTTCCCCAATATATTGAAAATTGTAAAGGCGGCATTGAATCATGTAGATAACATTAAAAGTATTACAAGCAGCCACACCTTACCACGTCATACTGTGTAACTTCCGTTTATTATTTTACAGTAGTATATATTCTGTATATTCGTGGTTTCTCCTAAAAAAACCTAGCTGATAAACACTGGTATTGGCCTCTCGAAATATTGTATACCTCAGCCTTTATCACGTTGTTTGATCAGTCCAAGAGTGCTCATTCTCTCCTATCAGTCTTTGCAGTTGTCGTTTTGACTTTTATTTCTATTTTTATCTTTTTCGACTGATCACGATCTTGTTTGATCCAACGTTGAGCTACATTGATCATTCACGGTTTTTGCAGTGACTTTTACGCCTTAGTTTATATTTTACATTACAGAAAATTGTTTATCATACATTATCAGGCCGTTGTTACAATATGTCATAATCTGCCTAATAAACAGCGGTCTGCTTTGAGTGGAGTATTAATAAAAGTGATTTTTTATTCTATTTTTCAACAGACTACAAGAAAAAGAAGAAAACTGGGAAACAAATAAGTAACCTTGACTTCAGTGGTACGACAATAATCCTGTGGAAGCTCCAGTTGTTAAAAAAATTGTTGAATTGTGCTTGACGTTAAGAGGGCGGGGGAGTTCACTCTGAATTTTTTCCCCGCAAGGTGGGGTTTTCGCTGCATTTCACTGACAGTAAAAGTGAATGCCCGGGGTATCCCTTATATTGCGGATAAGGATTACAGGGGCCTTGGATTTTTCTAGAACCACGCACAGTTTTTCAAAACAACCCCTACCCCGCAAATCGCTTTTGTCAGAACTGGTGACTTAATGATCGCTAAGGCTGTCGCGTGTGGCAAAAAAATCCGGAAAAACCCTGTATTTTGCTTTGAACAATTATCTGGGGCGGGCAAAATCATGTTAAGCAATTCCACCATTTTTCCGTTATCTCTTATTTACCGCTGTTCACTTCCATGCTTTGTTTATCTATTTCTCCTCTTCTTTTATTTGTGCTCCATATTTTTTTAGCTACGCGAGTGCGAACTGGCGTGCAGGTAGTTATGACCCTGGATTATGTCGTTTGAAGGGAAGACCAGGCTAATAAGTGCTCCTTTATACCCCCAAGTATCCAGTGCATATCAGTACCCCGCAACAAACGATTTTACTTTCAATCAGTAGATTGTTTTTATTATATTTAAGAGGTTCACTACAATATGTTGAATTATACTAACTCTTTTTAATAAAGATTAAAATGCACGTGTATTGACAACTAATTTATTCAAAAGATTTAACTATAAGTATTTCTAGTAATAATCTGTGCCCTCCAATTAACGTTAAATTTAATTTTACTAGTAATATTAGCGCCCTTAGTATATAACAGTGGTAAGCTTTAGATGCTTGTCATTGCCGAAAATAAAATCTCAAAATGTAACGTATCCACACCGCCTGTCTTGACTAGGTTTACGCTAAATCAATAAGAAGGTGTCTAGGTTCTACCTTTAACGATTAATAAAGTTGGTGGTGGTGGTGGTTTCATTTCACTAACTTGACTTGAAGTTAGAGGAACAACTAACGCATCACACACCAGGGGTGCTTTCTATTTTTAGTATTTTGCCAAACCGACCGGTCAGCCCGAGCCTAGACCACGAGCGAATGTCCTTTTTCCTCAGAGCCTCGAGTCCTCATTCCTTGGGCTTCGCCGCTCGCGCTCGCTCCTTACGCGTGCTCTCGACCTGCCGGGCTGGCCAGAAACCAAGGGAAAATGGAACGACATTGTTCAACTCAGGATCAACTGAAACAAAGTTTCCAACCGGATCGAAGCTTTCTATTTCGTTTCGATCCAAATTTTGATAACTTCTCAGCTGAAAACGAGAATTTTTTGAAATGGAACGGCAAGTTTTGGTCGGACGACCGGACCAACGGGTCAAAGTGGAGGTCGACCACTTTGACCGGAAAATTTTCCCGCGAACTGAAGCGTTCCATTTGTTTCTCCACCGAAATTTCCGAAATTTTTGGCATAATGGCAAGTACCCCAGATGCAGAGTTTCATTCGATATCCAGGCAACGCGAAGTCTGTCTGTGAGGTCCCGTTAGTATCACCACCGTTGAACCACGCAACTTCCGGGTTATCAATGCAAACTGGGGGTTTAAGGATTTTTATTTTTTATCGGAGGGATCCTAGTCTGCTTCACTTGTAAGGTGGAGCGATGCGTGACGACATAAAAAACTACAACTGTGAAGCAGACTAGAGCTAGGGATGCAAACATGTGCTTAAAGTATTTCAGCCGTTACATATAATTTTCCCGTAAACTCCAACACTACGTCATTAAGACCTTGATATACAATCCTTCAGTCGACTCAGAAAACACTCTCTGGCTCAAGTTCATAGGTCCATTTAAGGAAGGGGGTTAAGGACCCCTGGGCCCTTCCCCTTAATTGATCCGCCACCATATACATGTACATTAACTTCCTATAAAGAGTGTTTCTGTTTGAGAGATTGGTAATGCTTTGTCCTCTTGCAAACCGGTCTCATTAGGCATTCAACTAGTCGTATTAACCATTAGGGACTCCAAAAGGTGGTCCGGCTCTGATCGTAATAACTGGATAATTACATTAATAAAGTTTCTGAAATATAGAGAAATGACCGGACTGTTCGGACCAATGGTAACGGGGTGGGCTTGTTAACAGAGCTAACGGCGGACTCATTCAAGACATTTAAGTGTGAAATTCAAGTCAATGTTTTGATAAATAACTACTAACAGCTAATTAAAACAATTGTCACCTTACGAAGGACAAGGACATTTAAGTGTGAAATTCAAGTCAATGTTTTGATATTAAATAACTACTAACAGCCAATTGAAACAATTGCCACCTAACGAAGGACAAAGTTACTGAACTGAGCAGGCAATTGTAACATTTTCATGCTAAAATTAAGCGCATCCCTCAAAACTATTCCCAAATCCCAGACTAGTAGCATTTTGGTAATAAATCACTTTTCCTTTCATTTTACAATCTGAAAAGGTAACGCCTATCAAGAGATTCCCTTTTGCTTTTATGTCTTCGTCCGATTTAATTCAAAATCGGCAATTTGGGTATTTTTTTTCTAGCCTGACTGAAGCAGAAAGAATATTTTTCGGAACTTGAAAAAAAAAAAAACAATATGCACACTTAACAGAAATGCCTAATTCGGTTTGAGTCGGTTTCTCCTTTTTTAAACAGGGGATTCGCAGTAGCCTACAAGGTGTTTAATATCTCGTTCTTCACTGAGAGATAACACAAGACTGCCGCATTGTCAATGGCTCCTAGATGTTCCCACTCTTGCAAAGATATCGTGCACGCTTCATTTGGTGGAATTTTAATGCCACTGTCAATTGGAAATTTGTTAAGGATGAAATAAACCTTCCCTCCCAACAGTTCCACTGCACCAAGCTTGTTTGAAGGAATGTGGTTTTGTTCAACAACGTGCCACGAGTTCCTTTTCTCGTTATAAACTTCGACAGGTGCATGGTTACCATCAGCTCTCAGAAACCAATAGGAATCATACAATGAAACAACAGAAACTCTTCCACCGGCCACATAAAGCTTGTTATTTTCTACAAATAGAGTGGATTCAAAGTGAGGGTATAAAGTTGAAGCCCTCTTCTTCCATTCATTTTTCTGTGGGTCAAAACAGTGAATCACGGCCGGTTTTGCTTTACGCGTGCGGTCATCCTTTTCTCTGTAATATCCACGAAGTACATATATTTTAGATTTCATACTCACTACCGTCGCAAATATTAAACGTTTTGGATCACCTCTTTCCTTCAAGGAAGGCAATTTGAAATCACCTTGCCAATGATTCTGAGGCAAACTATATCTCTGAGCCAGATCTGAGTCACTAAATGCGTATACATGTTCATTGAAAGAACACAAACAGCGTATCGGTCCCGGTGAGTCGCTGCCTGAAAAAGGAGGAAGTTTTTCCCATGCATTACTAACCGCGTCATAACGCCGACAAATTACAGAAGAGCCCTTCTTTTGAGTAGCTACATACAAATAATTACCCACAACTTCTGCACAAGTGAATTCAGCGACATCAGCTAATCTTTCCATGGACGCAAAAGGCTTCCATGATTTTATTCCAGTATCAAAATACTGATAAGGCGAACGCGAACGTCGCAATCCTCCATCCTTGTCGCAATCAGGGATAATTTGAACAAGTACCTGAAAACGAACAGCACAAAAAGCATTAAATTAGCGAAGGAGGCCGAATAACAAAAGGTATACAATTTTAGAACATGTTAATTTAAACTGCAGTAGATAAAGAACTCGTATCATGGGTTTTAAATACATCCAAGAAAGAATGAGCTATGAGAGCGAATCCCTGTGCTCCATGATAATTATTTGAAATCTATTTTTAAAAGTTCGCGCGCGTGGTGCGAAGGTAGTTTTTGTCTGTCGTCTCCTTGACCCGCGTGGTCCACTTTCACGTGAACGTGACATGTTTCGCCGCCAAATATTTGAAGTTTGACAGCCGTTATAGTAATTAGGGCGCTAAAGGTTTAAATTGTTGACATGTTTTGATCAGCGCATTTAGAACGGATTGCAGTATTGGAGTCAAAATTTCACTTTTGGGATTAAAGATTAAAGATTGAGATTTTCTAACGGCTGGTAGCCTCATTTCAAGTAACACTGTGAAAGGGAAAGGCAACGTTATCACGCGAAATACGAAACCTTTTTAAAGGTTTCGTAAGCGGCTAGTCTCCCTCGCAGCCGTTATTAGGGTCGTCACGCAACGCTGCGTGACCCCACTAATAACGGCTGCGAAGGAGACTAGTAAGCGGCTGGCTTCAGTCAGTTTACGCAAATGTGCAAGATATTTTTTTTCCAGGAATTTTTCTCGTTCAGAAACAGCACGTTTGCTTTTAAAAATTATTCTTGAGAGTTTCAAACTGCATTACTTCTTCTTAACGTCTAATACATGCTATGAATATTTCGATGTGCGAACACAAATCAGGTCAGATGCATGGTTTGACTGTAAATATAATGAGACCTATGACACCATACTTGAATTGGAAAAAATTGGGGGGAGGGAGGGTCATTACAAGAAAGGAAAGGGGTCTCCCGCTATGTAACCCCAGCCCTGATTACAGGAGACTTGTAAACATGTATTAAAAAAAAAAAATTAATCCAAATTTTCATTCAGTACCCTTCACTTGTATGGTTTACCCTATAGTTCCAGGAAGCCTACTTGGCAAGCCAGGAAGCCTTACTTGGAATATTGTATATTATCTTTAATGTATTTCTGTATACTGTTGTTGTATTTCTGGTTAATGGCAAAATAAATAAATGAATGAATGAATGAATGTATGAATTTCACATTTTGAAGAGTTTTTATAATACAAAAAAAATATGTAATAATATGTGTTTGTACATACTGACACAATCATTAAACAACTAGTGGCTGAATAGCTTTTAAAAATCTATTGACTGCTTTGTAATCACAAATATGCCATTTTCGGTTTCAATCCAGTTATAAGAAATTCTATGACTCACACCAATGGGAAATACATATATGCAAATTTGCAGTGTTGCTTGAATGAAGGTACTCAATATTATCTATAAAGAGAACACAAGTCAATCCTTGTACACAAATACTCTCTACTTTATTTACTTGTCGTCATGTGATGATAAATACAGATGTTAAAAAAAACGAAATGCAGACTTGGTGCCAACAGAGAACTAAGTCCTTGAAAAGATGACCCCCTCAACTTCTCTTAATATACCTAGCAAGTGAACATCTTGCAATGCTCAATGACAAAAGAAAGTAAGCTTACTGGGTTTAAAGGAACAGTATCCCGTTACTGCGCATGCACCAAACTTTGATTTTTGGACAGGATGTCGCGAAATCAAAAGATGCGAGAAGAGTAAGAGAACCTTGAAAAATCCGTTTGCATCGCGCTTGGCCGGGTTCAATACGACAATTAAACTTCTCAGGAATTACAGATCAGTGATATATTGTTCCGGTTAAGTTTCGATTTGGGCAAAGTCTGGATTTTATTGCCGTTGGCCGGAGGACCAAAAGATTGGAAGCACTTTGTTGCCGATTGAAGGCTTATTTCTTCTGCTAGCTTCCATACAAGCTCAGATAATTGTGAAAGGAATACGTAGAAATGAAACAGAAACAATAGAGACTGTAAGAAAGAAACCATTGATACATGGATGTGACTGAGGAGATCTTGTGGAGGGGAGCTTCGCGAAGCAGAATGTTTTGCAACGACGCGTTAGTAAACTTTTAAATGAATCTCCCTACGGCCGACAAAATCAAACAAACAGGCGCTACATGTTTAGAAAAACTAGTGCCCTGAAATCATAATATAATTTTTACTAACCTTTGTGATGATTCATAGCGTTGAGATTGCATTTTTTTGTCTTTCAACGTTTGAGGCTAGAACGCGAGCAAATCAGGCAGATATTACTGGACTTGGCACAATTGACCTCTGACACGAGTTTCAAATTTGAAAATATGTTTTTAAAGCGAGCGAAACGAGATTTTCGGGTCGCGAGGCGGCCCAGCTAGCGATGAAATCGCGATGAGTCTTCGAACCGCGAGCCAAATATTTATATAAGACGAAAGACTTCTTCGATCGCGAAAGTCTAAAATATTACTTGAGAATATATACAACAAAACCCCGTCGGCGGTGCGGTCCGGAAGGAAATCTTGTCGAGTCAATATGACAGTTCTATTGTCTTTTGAAGAAAAAAAACAGATGACGCTCGCGCGTGCGCATAATCGGGACACTGTCCCTTTAAATACCGTGGCCGGCCGTGGCCTGGTATTCTGAAGAGGCTCCTAGTATTTTATGTCTACAACACGACTATGCATATCAGTACCTCTTAGCACTAGTTGCACTGATTTCACCGTGAATTCAAAATTTTCGGCGAACCGCGGGTCTTACCTCCAGTCCTTTTCATGATTGAAGCATTGAACAAAGCGTTTCAATTCTGTGCAGACTTTTCTCAGTCAGTTGCAACAGGATGCAAGTGATTACGAACAAAATACACTAGAATACACTTATCAACGGAATGAGACTGTCTTTTTCCCTGAAAATTCGACAGACTTTGCTTCTCAAAAGCTTCCGGAAGAGATTCAAAGCAAAATCGTATATTTCTGCAGCGTAATTAACGAATATTCACTCCGCAATCAAGATGTTCACTCCACGCTATCTTGACACGAATGATCAGATTTTGAATACCGCCCATGATGCTTAGCGATCGTAGTGCGCAGTGTAGCTAAATGTCGCGGGTAAAAAACGTATAGAAAAAAAATGATAAAGTAAAATAATTGAAAAAAAAGAAATAAATAGAAACAAGTTGTAAAATATTTATGAAACGAAAATCTTCAACTCCTTGATTGCCTTTTTGGTCCTCTTCCTGATATTTCCTAAGCTACGTGGGACTTGGCTCCCCTTTCACAACATCACTGTATAAAAGACATGTCGCCGATGAAGATTTATCCATACCTGAGCTATCGCCGCGAAATAAACGAAACAGACGTAAATTATACCTGCAATTGGCAGAAAGTATGGTACAGCTCTGACTCGCTGAATGGAAATGGCTGCTCACCATTAATCTTTATTCGATCGACAATTCCTTTGATCAGCGGAGATTTTTTTAGGGCGTATGGAAAAGCTGGAATCCGGAACCGGAGCCGGAAACGGAAACGGAACCGGAACCCGAACCCGAACCCGAACCTAAGAAATAAAAATTGGAGACGTTTCCGTCTTGAGAGTGTCACTAACAATAATTGCTCGATCAAGACTTTTCATCCCCACATTATATTTATTTATTGTTATTGTAATTTTTACTGTCGCATTTTTTGCGTACGGCGCAAAATTTTTCTTCGAGAATTTCATATACGCGTGAGTGTTGCTCCTCCCTTTGCCGCCTTTCCCTCACAATGGATGAAACACGGAGCCCTTTTAACAAAATGTACGAGTAAGAATATACAATGTTACCAAAAAATGTTACCATTTTACAAAAACATATCTGTTTACGTTTACAGATCGCGACAAAGCGACGAATCGATTGAAATGTGAGTACGTGTGAAAATGTGAAGTTGTTGTGCCTTGAATTTATGCTCGAGTCTGCGGCGGAACAGCATGGGCTGATTCTTTGAATTTTAGTGGTTATGTTCTTTTTTTATAAAGTCACGTAAATTACAACTGAATATTTTGTTTGTTTGTTTGTTTTTTCTGGTAAAAGTGTCTAAGCGTGATGTGTAAGCATGTTTGATAAAGTAGAACACATGCGTGTACTAAATAACCAAACGTAAGCTCTTTTGCGCGGTGAGTATATCTTTGGTATCACGATCACTGTGCTGAAAATTTCTCAAAACAATGATAACAGAGGACGCCATCTTGAATTTTATTTCCACACGGGTATCGGGAACTGGTTTCAGTGCTTCCCAGTTTACCCTGGTCTCAATTTAAGTTCTGGTTCCGGTTCCGGATTCCGGATTCCTGCTTTTCCATACGCCCATTTTTTTAGCACGATGGAATGCGGTCACCGTGAGAAAGGGGAGGGAAAAAGGACAATTTTGAGGAGATTCATATTTCTGGATAGAAGTCTTTCTTAAAGAAGTTTTAGGTCTCTTACCTTACGAAGGAAACACCTTCATTCCCAACATTTCAAGTTAAGCGCCGAGACTGTATGAAAATTTTATTGCCGTACGGAAATACAATTTTCGCGATTCTTTTTTGTTTTGTTTTGTGTACAAAATCTTTGCTTAAACTGAAAGGACCTTTCAGTCACGAATGTTGACATCTTTGAGAAAGAGCAGTTCAGTCTCCAGTTTTTCTCTAGCCTGCTCCAGGTCTACACAGTGTACAGAGTTTCTTTTATTTTTCACCTAAATGCCCCGTTTGTACTAGAGGATTCGCTCATTTGTTTTACTGACCGCGGGGAAGGGGAATAGGACTGGTATGTACTCGGAGATTTTCGTTTCATGAATTTTACAACTTTTTGCTTTTTAAGATTTTATTTTTTTGGAGGACATTTTTCACCCACGACATTTACCCACACCCACACCCACACCCACGACCCACACCCACGACATCTACCCACTACCCACGACCCACGACATTTAGCAGTGT